AAAAAAAAAAAGGAAATACCGAAATTCAAATAATACGGTAAAGAATCGAAATTGAGAAGTTGAAGACCAACCATTAGCAATGAAATAATCATAATCAATATCTGGATTCGTTACAAAGATTATAGGTGTCAAGATTAAGAAATCCTTAGTTTGGTATGAATGGGTGAACATGTTACCCGTCCCCATGACTGCCCGAAGTATCAGAGTGCTATTTGGCGAAATGTCTATGACCTCTGACAGCTGACTAGACTGATTTAGTGAGTTGTTTTCAGTGGTTTAGATTTAGAGTCGAGACAGCGGTCATTGACAAAGGAAACAGACGTTTTTTGAAAGGTCACAAAATAAGTTTTCAATTCCTGTTTGTTACTCATCACGTCACACGCTTACGAAGGTGCAATGACTGGAGAATTTGTTTTTATGCTGAGATTGGCACAATGTCTGCGTGTGTTTTTTTGTCTTATTTTTCCTACATTTCTATACAACTGTTGAAGTTCCAGTGTTTTTCCTAGCAAATTACCGTGTACTCTTTTGACCTTGTGGCCAAATTGTACTTATGGATTGCTGACAGTAGTGTGTTGTCTTGTTTATCCTTTTTGCGTTGACTGTGCGACCTTGTATGACCGTAGTGTGGTAATGAACCGTTAACCCTTTTTGACCCTATATGACCCCATTGTATTTATAACCATGAAGACTATTCTGCGGCCTTGTGTGACCTTATTGTAATGATGGACCATTGGTGGACCATAAAGGCTAAATTGTGGCCCTATGCAACATTGACGTATTGATGCTAAGGCATCATCAACATCTGTGTAACGTCAATGTCTTTGAATGCTCCATCATTACAAACTTATTGCAATAAAATATCTTTATTCTATATGATCTCTGGTTTCTTCTTTTTCACCCTGCATATCACTGATGCTGAAGCAAAAAGGCTGGACATATGTTTGCCGAGATAAAGAAAGCGCACCTCATTTTATCTATAGGTTAGATTCGCCTAACAGAGCGTGACATGGTCAAATAATCAGTAGAAATACTGTCGATGTTCTGAACAAATAGGGAAAAGTGGACGAATCATGAACTCAATTTCTAAATATATATATATATATATTATCTTTATTGGTCATTTCTCTCTCCGATAATTCCACGAGATGATAAAACCAAAGTAACAAGTTATAACAGATAAATACAATCTAACAATACTTTAACATCTTGTTTTAAATCTGTCTGTTATTATCATGGGATGTTCTCTTTGTTTTCTGAAACGAAATGTAAGAATAACAAGCAACAGAAACATTTAAAACATTTTCGAAATACACGATGATCATTTAGATTTGTACATGATATGTCAACACAAATTTACTCCCTCGCTGTTCAAAACAACATTAAAAAAACAAGTGAACGGAGTGAAATTGCGAGTTTCCCATTTTTTGAGGTAAAAATCAATTAAATGTGATATTATCTTATAAAACGGAACTAAAACATTTCAAAGAAAATAATTTATGTTGAGCATTTTAAAACTTGGCCTTGGCCAGATACCCGTGACTCTACGGTTACTAGTTGAGGCAGGATGGTTCATAACCTTCTGATAAAATGGCAGTGTCATTCACGTTATACCTAGCCTTAAAGATATCACATCATTATTGATAAAATAGGGACGTGTTCATTCAAAAGACAACAAATTAATCCACTTAAATAGCAACCTGAACCAGCTCGATTGTCACCCTAGTCTATGACAGCAAAATTGCTCTCCATCTCGACTTCCTGTTAACCTCTATGACAGCAAAATAGCTCTCCATCTCGACTTCTTTTTAACCTCTATGACGTTCAATAATAATTTACACATATACAAAATGTGTGCCCTCGAGCGATCTCATATCATATCCTATTGCCTCATGTTAAACATGATTTATGAAAATCATAGAAAGTTTTATGCTTTAAACAACTGTAAAATTTCCATATGGTGTCATCTATTACTTTTCATTTTCTTATCGATATGTTCTGCCTTTCAACATTTTTTTTTTGGGGGGGGGTCATTTCAATTCATTTATTCTGTAGGCTTATGAGAAACACGACATATAAAATGATAAATATGTAGTTGTTCAGGAGAGTGACAGTTGTAAATTGATACAATAACACACTATGGAAACATGCGCGCACACACATGTGAATAACTTTAACGACAGAGAGTGTAGCTTAAATACAAGTCTTATAATTTTACCAAAATTATATAACTCTTTAACATTTTAAACACTAAGTAGCTGGACAAGTTTGAATCCACTAGGACGATGGAAATGGTAAGACTTATAAGTATCTGACTCGTAAGTTTGAATACAAAGGACACTTCAGGATGAAATGAAATGCGTCTTCAATATCTCCATTATCACACAATGTACAACATCTCCATTATCACAGAATGTACAACATCTCCATTAACACACAATGTACAACTTCTCCATTATCACACAGTGTACGACATCTCCATTATCACCCAGTGTACAACATCTCCAATATCACACAATGTACAACTTCTCCATTATCACACAATATACAACATCTCCATTATCACAGAATGTACAACATCTACATTTTTACACATTGTATAACATCTGCATTATCACACGATGTACAACATCTCCATTAACACACAATGTACAACTTCTCCATTATCACACAACGTACAACATCTCCATTATCACACAATGTACAACATCTCCATTATCACACATATTTAGCTGGTGTGAAGATAATCTTATAGACGAAATATTTTTCTTATACATTTAGTCAATTGGTTTTTGCAAGTAAAATTGAAAACCAAAATTATCTTCTAAGTGTTGATCAATGTTCCTTTGGAGTAATTACGTACATTAGATAACATTTCTTGTATATGTATATCACAAAATTTATGTTCTATCAACTTGTACATGATCTTACTTTCATAGTTGCTATTCTATAGATACCCTAATCCTATGTTATTTAATTCCGATTCTATACTAACAATCCATTTCATTGTCCTTCCTAATTCTAAAAAGACAAGGGCATTACATGTAAATCTCCCAACACCAAGAATTTTTGTACAGAAATTTGTATGTCCTTTCTCAACTTCCGTCGTACCCTAGTATACTACTTATATAAGTGTCAAAACCTGAACATAATGTTTCGATGTTAAAACTATGGTTCTTTAACTTATTAATAATGAAAAAAGGCGTTCCTTCCCTTAACTGCCGCGTGTTGCTGGGTGTTGTTAAATTTACTTTTACAATTTTAAAACAAATGTCTCTTACCTGTAACATGGCAAGTCATCAGGGCGGGCTGGAATATGTTTTTAGCCTGCATCACGTGAAGTTGCGGGGCGGAACACATTGGTTCTTGTTCGATTGTTATGTGATAGGTTTCCATGGCTTTAGGGGGTACGCCATTATCAACTTCGCACCTGTACTCACCGCCATCCCCGGCCCGCAGGTTCTCCAAGTGTAACACCTCGCCCTGGGAAGTAACAAGGTTACATGAGATAGATTTCATAGTACAATAAATGCAGAAATATTAATTGTTGTTTAGTTACGATATGGAAGGCCATAACAAATACATTAAAAAAACCAAATTGCGATCCCAAATGTTCGCTTAGTTGTTAAAATGTCAATTTTGCGGGATCTTATTATTGCGGATTTCAGCAATACTGGTCATGTCACATTGTGGTGCGGTTAGGACGGTTAAATTCCTACTAAGTGTGCGGGCGTTCTTTTTACAGATATAATGTTACCGTAAAAATAGCCAAAAATAGAGCCATGCGAAAAAAAGATATCGTTTTCATTGATGATACCAATAAGCAAACAGGAGACGCGGTTGATTCTATGACTGATCACTAAACATTGAGATTACAACAATATAACGTGGAAGGTGTCTTCTCATTGTCATACCGGTTTGAAATGTAGTGAACGTTTTACAATTAACTTTATCCTCGAAAACCAAGGGTCCGCTTACGATACAATATGTTCTCTAAATATCGTCGAAGACTGGCAGTAAGCTATATGATCGGTTTCAGATGTAAACAAAAACGTTTCCACTCGCTAGGCTGATACCTGTCCTTTGAAGATTAGAAATGAGCTACATCCAAATTCAAATACGGTCGATTTTATCGTAACGCCACCGCAAAATTAGATTATCTTCTCAAATGCATCTGACTAGCTTACTTGAACCCTTCGTAAAGTGTCGCGTAAAGAGCGTTTGACTATGTCATGACATATTAGAGGGTTTGGGGAGATATAAATATCTCGATAGCGGAACTGTGGTATTCTGAAGATGCAATTACCAAAACCAACGCAGTTCAAACATTTTAATCAGTTAAGAAAATACTTTTCAAAGTCTATACGAGTATGTCTGCATGGTGATCAGAACACGCTGTTTAAGTTAGGTTATTAGACGAACAATAAACACTCAAATACATGCGATCTCATATCTAAGAAGAAATGCTCTGCGATATAGAGTTAGCAACAACAGAATATTAAGCTAAGTGCCATATCCTTACGCCCACCGGTGAATATGTATCACTGAAACACGTCCATTGTGTTACACAGTACAAGACATAAGATCAGGATGCAGATAAAAAGACAGATTTATTGTTCAAAGTAAAATATGATTAGGTAAAAATATTCAGTAATTGGTCATATGAATATTTTTTTCGGGAAATGAAATTTTCAAAATCTATTAAAATACCATTTATAATTGTAAGAATTTGTGGCATCAAGAAAATTTCAAATAAAATGCTCATTATTGACATCAGTGATTGATAACGAAATAATAATGGTAAACGCACGTGTCCCATTATGTTGGTTCCCGCGTCACCTTTGTACCACGTGATGGTGGGCTCGGGTGCTCCGTAACCTCTACAGGTTAACGTGACGTCTTCGCCAACGGCGGACACCATTTTGGTGTTACTCACAGACAGAATCATAGGTGGCGCTATTCATATAACGACAAATAAAATACAATTGTTATGTAAATACCTTACAGTAACATACTGTTATGCTTTTACAATTTTAATCAGGAAACTTGTATACGTGTACATAAAATTAACATTTCATGTTATATTTGTATTGTATTTTATTTGAATACTCACAACTACACTTACACTAGGGATTCAACCTTAACATAACTCGTTATTGATGAGGATGCATTACTCACCGACGTAATGAATCGGGTTGTTAAATTGGATCAAAATTGATGTGATAAAATTGTGGTGACAAAGTGCAGGTGACAATTTGGTGGAATATGATTTTTTGTGAAAGTCCATATTGCTTTTAACCAGAAAGCAAAATATGAAATGAAAAAAAAGATAACAAAATTAATAAACAAAAAGTATATCATAAACTGGTTTGGAATATGTTTGGAAAAATCTTTGTCAGGAAAGTTGATGTTATGAATCATTTCTAGATTTTCGACTCGATGGGGTTCCCTGTTAACAATATACCATACCTGCAATACTGACAAATGCATCCTTAGATGGCCAACGTGGGTAGGACACCTGGGAGATGAGCACACGACACCTGTACCTGCCAACGTCTGCATTGCTCGCGTGCTTAATAATCAGGGTCACCGTGTTCAATTCCTGTTGCTTGACCGAAGTGGTAGTTGTGGCCCTTACGCCATACTTCTCCGTGTTCTTGGTCACGAGAGATCCGTCGTTGCTGATATGAAGGTAGCCTGGCAGCACCCTAAACCATTGGACCTGTGGAATGTGAGGCAGGAAGACATTACAAAAGCTGTTGAGAACATCATATATCTCCTATTTGAAAAATAGTTCAATCCACACTGTTGAAACAAATATGATTTGACAAAAATGTTGACCCCTCATGAACGTCCCTGCCAAATATCACTTCCCTTGAAAGATACTGATTGATATAGTATTTTTTAAATAACTTTCATAACATAATGTTGAAAAAAAGGTTAATTTATTTTCTTTTTGATTTTCATGCTAGAATGATTTATACCTCAGGAACCCCAATGCAAATGATCAGCCACCAAGTATAAATACGGGGGATATATTGGGATGAATTTCAACACTTACGCAAAATCTAAATTATGGAAATTTTGGCAAAAAAAGTTGAAACAGGTTTCGACAATATTCATCAAAATCTAAAACTGATTACTGAGAAGATACCGATTAAGTACAGGGAAGTGTCATGTTAGTGCTGAGTATATAGTGCTGATTAACTGGTGGTACCTTGGAAGCGGCGGTTTTGTTGGTTATGGGACAGTCTAAGTAAACATCATCTCCCTCATCCACCGTCGCGTTGGCGATGACTCCTATGGATGGTATTGTCGATTCGGCGGAAACTGTAAAACATCATGTCGCGCAATGAAACACAATTCCTCTTCCAAATTGTTTAACAATCTGTTGACATTATTGATTAATTTTTTCATTATTTTCGTAAGTCATAGAAATGAATTTTAGTTTGTTTTCTGGAAATTACCTTCTTAATCTCAAGAGTCCAATTTGATTCAGCCAACGATTTCAACGCATACTTATTGACGTTTCGGTTGGGATAAGCTGAACTACCAAAAATATTTTGATATCATCAGATTACAAAATGAGTTTAACAAACATAATGCCGTCAGCTGTTACGACTAGATATTTTTCTTGACGAATGGATAAAATACTTTGAATGCAAGGTTAATTGCTGAAGCTAGACCTCTCCGACGCGTAATTTATTAACCCAGTTTTGCAAGGGTATCTTGGGTATTTGAACTTCTCATGGCTTCGCCGAACCAGCCCAGCACACATAAACTTCCAGTCGTACTAAGTGCTTCGTAATACTTTCGGGAGCAAATATCAGGCAAATTGTCGGAGTTTTTCTTCAAATGTAGGTTTGAACAACATGTGATTTACTATATCTATGCTAGCCTTATAAAGAATGTCTTAAGGTGAACATATTTCAACTCATCCCATATACTTTGAGCTTGGAAATAGAAAATGAATTATATTGAGATAAATGGATAAATGCGATATTAACCTTATATTCCGGGGATGCAGAGAGCGAAAGTAAGCGTAACCCCTCGAGTATCGAGGATGACTTGATCTGCAATCATCGTAACAACTTTGCTCTAACATGAAAACTACATTTTCCTGGAAATTCAGGCATGACTTCTTGTTTGATTAATTGTATACAGTGAAACAATATGTTTAGTTAGTATTAAACCGTGAACCGACCAATACGGATACTATCTACTACACGTAATACTATTAACACTGTAACGGACTAGGATTTCCTTTAAAGCTTGAAAAGTTGAATTTATATACATTTCATTGTTTTACAAATTGTTATGCATATCAGTTGATTCTTTTTTCCTATATTATGTTAAATGTGTTTACAAAATAGAATATTCCATTGCCTTGTTTTTGTTGTAATATTACCTTTGTACATTTAAATAAACACTGACGTGATATACGTAATGTTACTTTCCAGTTTAGTGTGTTTATTATAGCTATAAGCGGTAAACGCAGAACCCAATATATCTTGATACATCTCATAAATTTATCTTTAATCTCGAAAGCGGTAACACTACGGTGTATCATTATAAGTTAACTATAAGCTTACTAGGCTTCCAGGATCAGGTTTTTGATGGATATGTTAAGCAGTTAATAGAAGAAGTATCGCCCATGTCAAAGGTCACATCTGTCATGGGCGTAATGCATCTAAACACTAACCATGTCAACAACACACAGCCAATACACATCGGCCAAGTTCCTATTTGTTCGGGGTTTTAGCTTGCTAATATTTATCAAAATTCTACTTTTTTTGCTTAATTTACAAATAAATCTTGAAAACCCGACCATGCTTTCCGACAAATACATTCTAGGAATGTTACATATATGCATATATTTACATACATATTAATATGCAGAAACAATATTACTATTTACTGCGATACATTTTTTTTACTGTTTATTTTTGTCTTTTTAAGAAAAACAAAAAACAAACACCACACATTGACATAATAAAAACGGAAAGACAACCCATAAAACACAGACACGAAAGTTATAATAATAAAAAGATATCAAAAACATCCATAAAAAACGAAAGCAAAAAAGTTTCGGAAGGGTAATGGTTGACTGTATTATTGCAAGATAAACTGTTTCTTAACTCTGTTTAGAACCAGTCGTGAACAGTTCTTCCAAAATCATCTTGATGTATGTCATATTTGTATATGGATGATATTCCATTCATCCATGAATCTTCAGATATACATGTGTTAGATATGAGACATAAATTTACACACCTATACACATTTATACCATGATACACATTACACACCGTTCGACTATCTACAGCCCAATGTATCAAGGACCATCTTTACTCTAATATTGAAAATACATACCTTGGAACACGAGAGTAAGTAGAATCAGTGATACAATTGTTAAACCTTTCAACGATTTCTGCTGCTTCATCCTGTCTTAATCAAGTCCTCCTGATAAATACGTGTTGTTGATGGATTTCGAACTTGTGACGTCATATTAAGAAACAATGTGTGGTTAACGCGGCTTATTGCCCGAGGCAGCTTGTACGTATCATAAGCCATAAACGTCATTGATATGACAGCCTATCACCCATACTCGCTGCTTTATATAATTTCTGGTATATGAAATACGAATTGATTAATAAAGAGAATTTTCTGACGAAGGTCATCATCTATCAGTCACTATTTCAAACATGTGTTTATACCGCCCTTCAGGCACTGTGACTCTACGCTTCCAGTAATTGTGATCAAATTGTCTATATATTTATTTGAAAATGATAAACCAAAATTTCTTTTTCACGAAATTTTAGCTTTTTTGTTTTCTCATCTTATTTATATTGTTATTCAAACTTTCGTCGATTATCAATATTTGTTTTCAAAAGTAAAGAATAATTTGTTTATATGTAATATTAGTATGTGTATACAACATTCTCTTTTCTATCATCTTGAGAATACACTACTATATTGAGAATATCACGACATTAGCAGGACAATCACATAGAACAAGGTATATAACATTTTGACACCTTTAATAGTTTTTATTAAACCTCAAATGAATAAAAGCGTGTTAATCAAATTCCAACAGGATGTTCGAATCTGTTTCCATGTCTTTGTGATGACACTTTGTGGCGATGAATAACGAGTTATATGTCCATGCCTTCATTTCCCGGTGAACGTCACTACCACGATAATGTTTCCTCGGTAAAACTTGTTTTGATTGTAAATAGACATTGAGGTTCAAAGATGATAAGACCAGTTGTTCCAGAAGGATACATGTCCTGTGCTTTATCGACATGTAAATCTAGGTCCAAAAAACGTAGAATCCCCTGATCAACAGTTTTGGCTGTACCAACGAAACAACCCACTCTTATGAACCTATTTAAAAGCATAGACTTTCATATCACTGTAAGATATATATTTTCCAACGAGTTTATCACCATATAACCTTCCAATAACTTTCTCGAAATCTTGTGTTGCAAGTTTGTCCATCAGCAGTCGACATTTCTCATGGCAGCAAGAGTCCTGGTACAAGAGAGATAAAAAGGAAAACATAAAGTATACTGTTACAAATATATGTATATTTAAAGAAAATTGAAGAAGAAAATAATTGTCTTTATTTGAAATATTTTATTTAATTGATTTTTTTCCGCGTCATCAAGAAGCGAACGTACAAAGAGATTCAGAGAGGAATTAAAAGTGTACTCTATAAAACTTCCATGAATCGTTTTTAATATAAGACCGAAACTCTCTTTTTTCCAGAAAAAAATCGTACCAAATAAACCGCTGAAAAATTGATAAATATCAACTCGTAGCCAACAAATTCATGGTATAGGTGCACAAAAAGACAAATTGATTGATCAGAGATCCTTACGAAATGACCTTTAATTAAATTCAATTGAACCTATCATATTATGTTCATCTTCAAAGTCTACTTGTATATCAATGATACATACTGAATGATAGTTGCCAAGTTCCGTGCTTTCGTGTGTGTGTTACATTCATCTTTGGAAGGAGATTCCAAATTGTTCACCTTTATTCTTTACTTTTGAAAGTAGCATAATTTCCTACATCCTGCATTGGTCTGGCATATTACACCATTGGCTTGTGTCATTTTACGTATGTTGTAGACATTTCAAGATTTTGCAATGCAGTTTCTCTCTCTCATTGATGGAAAGATGTTGTATTTCATTTAAGATAAATTTGAAATCCTCCTTTACTATTTAGCTTGAATAATTGTCTATGTTTAAAGCTCATTTTCCTTTACTTTACAAATCTACATGTTTTGTTGAGTTTGTTATGTGAGTTTGCTAGCAATTTGTCCCGACTGTTGTCTGCAGTGTGTTAATCCACAATGGCGGCGCCCATACCAACTTCCAGTGAAGTTGTCACGAAAACCCCAGCGTAACCTTGTTATCATTCAGTCGAAAACAACCATAGGAACACAACAGCATCGTCTTTCAAAAGTCCTTTCATCAACATAATATCGAAAGAAATTGGTACCCAGCTAAAGTAATAGTGTAGTGCAGGTTGTTTTGAACTGCTCAATACTGAATTGCTCAAATCTATTACTGACAGTCAGCTACAAGACAAATACAACACCATACTCAAGGTTAAGGTTACAGTCAACAATCCTGAACTTTACTACATTTTTTTCTGCGACAAATGTTTCCCTTTCCTCATAAACAGGTAACTTAAAAGAGTGTAAATAACACAAACATGCAAATTACTATATCTCAAGGAACCATTGATAGAATGAGCACATCTAGACCAAAAGGTGGGAGTGACCAAACTGTTAAGTAGGGAAAACTAAACTCTCTCCATCTGTACATATGTTCATTCCACACAATTTATGTTGAAGATAAAATGGCATGGGACGTATGCAGTCAATGGAACCGTTTTCAATGTTTACTTATAGACAATCCTATGGTTTTTCTATTTCTAAAAAGATGGAGAAATGCTATGTAGCTGTTTATCCTGCAGACAACTGTCTAGTATAACATATACATGTCAGTTCTCGCATTGAAGAATACTCACCCTCATAATGGTAAGGAAAATATACGATGTGAAGATTCCCACAATGGACCAGGTAACCTACACAGGTAACCTAAACATCTGCCTATTTCATGGAAACAGCATTAATAGACTATAGCGTTAGTTACAACCTAGATATGGTCCATGTGAAACCAAACATTAGATACCTCCAAATTAAAGAGCAGAATAGATGACCAGGAAAAGAAAAACTGCTTATTTATAATCCGACCTCCAAACCAGTGTTTTTATAACCAACACTAAACCCAGAATACCCAGATTACACACAGTTCCAATGTTTTTCTATAACTCTAATAATATATACCAAATGCAAGAATAAATGAATTAGACCAATGATATTCACACATCATAATTTAGATTAATAGACTCGGTATCCCGTGGACAAATGTGATTGACGCTTTAACTACTTCATCGTTTATGAGATTAGATTGTATAATGTATTAGATGCACTCCTGTTTTTATCTTTACAACAAAGACGTATGTAGGGTGATGGCCTACCACACAACTAAGTATGCATAGCGTCTTTAAACAATTGCACATCCAAATCCTGACAGTGCAATTTCGTTACTGCATTCATCAAAGAAGTGCTTCAAAAAACCAAGAAAATCAGCGACGGAGAATAACAGATGGCGTTCAGGGTAATTTGCGGTCACGGGACTGGTCTTTAGGGATATCTGTAATATTTGTTGTGTAGACAGGCTTTTTGTTCTCGATGACTGTATCAACGTCATACCACTCTACAAAAACAAAATAGAAGTTTTATAAGATTTATTAACAAAGTTACAAATTAAAAAAATATATAAAAATACCTGGGTCGGCAAAATACAGGTTAGTACATTCTAAAAATAGATTCCTTCACCTGTGACTGTCTGCTGGATTGCATTGTGTAATGTGTGGTTTATTGAGTTGAAAACAAAAAAGACAACAAACTTTTTTCTTCTTTTTCCAAATGTAGTTTACAGCCGCACATCTCAGTCAGTAAATGCCATTTTTATGCTTCACCTGTATACCACTGTATATAACGTTATCATTTCAATGCATCCTCGCAAGTCAGAGTGTTTAATGTAGTCAAACTCTGGGAATGTATCCTTGTTATTGGACAACAGAATATAAAACCCCTTTTTATAAACAGACGAAAAGGAACCAAAACCTACAGAATAATCATCATTACCAATGCTGAGGATACATTTAAATATGGAGGGACTAGCTCTTTTAACGTCATTTTATGTCATCTTAGAAACCAGGCAAGTCAATTAAATACTGATCTTTTTAGAGACCATCTTACTAATAGCCCATCCTGTATATGTGGCAACCATGACGAAGATGTGGATCACTTCTTTCTATACTGCCCTAGGTATATAATACAAAGACAAATCCTATTAGATTCTCTGTCTCATTTGCAGCTTAACATTCAACTAAACCTACATTTATATCTTGACTTAAACCTGATTGAACATTTAGTAAATAATATCAATTTACTAACTAGGGGAAGTAACCACCTTAGTCATGATCCTAATTCTGCTATTTGTGTCTGTGTTCAGAAATATATTGAGTCTACTAACAGATTTTGAAATAACTGTTAATTATAGTCCCAATGTGTATGTATACATGTCTACATTAATACTCCTTCAACACGGCTCCTGCTCTGGATTGTCAATGACTGGGTAAGCACACAGTGGTGGTGTGTATGGACATTTTAGTGCTGCCCAGTTATTATTGTTATCTGGAGTAGGTTCAACTAATGATATTTAATATTTACTGTATTGAATGAAGGTTCCAGTTTTTGATATTAATATATGTTATAAAATTTATAAAATTTGATTATTTACAAATGAGTATACACACATGGCTTTCCATTTTGAAATAAGTTTTATATTTTAAAAAACCACCAAATGTATTTGTTTTATCTCAGTAATTCTATTTTTTTATTTTTTATTTTGCTTAGTTCAGAGATAGATAGGGACTATTAAGTATTAAGTATTAAGTACTATTTAATGTTCCAAGCCAGTGCTAATATGTTAATGTCTAAATTATAATTATGTTATTGTTTGAAATGTATGTAACCCAAGGGAGAGGGCTTGTATAGGCATAGCCTGTTGCCCAATTCCCATTGAATCAATTGATTTAATAAAATATTTTGAAATGAATAAATGAAATTACCAATGCACTTGTTGGTTTCAGGCAGAAAAACTAACCAATCGTTTGGCTGATAGTTTCATTGGATTAAAGGAGTTCATTTGTAATCATATTTTGTTTGAAATATCACTAGGGCAAGGTGATCATTTCTTTAATTCACGAAGTTGGTGTGACCCCATACGGTTGCGGGGGAGGGGCCAAAAGAAATGTTGGTGTACAGCCGCACTTACTGAAAACTATCGAGATATCCCCTGGGGATTTAGTGCGTTCATAACACAAAAATGGCTGAGAGTGTTTATTGTTGTTTCAGGTTTCCAT